AACAGCGCGAGCGGGCCCCCTGTTATGAGATCACGCGCTGGGAGGAAGTGACTGCACGTCACACCTCCCAGCTTACACAGAGCCCTTGCAGGAGGAAGGAGAGGGAATCAGAGTGGGAACTCTGACTCCCATCAGCTTGAGCCACCACTGGACCCCAGGGAAAGTCACCCTCCTGTACCTAAAAGGTAGGAAACAGGAGGGTGACTTAAACATTTTGTGTGTGTGTGTGTGTGTGTTTGTTTGTATGTGTGTGTGTCTCTGTCTGTATGTGTCTGTGTCTGTCTGTATGTGTGTATGTGTGCCTGTCTGTTTGTATGTATGTATGTATGTGTCTGTGTGTGTGTGTGTCTGTATGTATGTGACTGTCTGTGTGTCTGTATGTATGTGTCTGTCTGTGTGTCTGTATGTATGTGTGCCTGTATGTTTGTATGTATGTGTCTTTGTACGTGTGTGTGTGTCTGTCTGTATGCCTGTCTGTTTGTATGTATGTATCTTGCTATGTATGTGTGTCTTGTGTGTTTCTGTCTGTGTGTCTGTCTGTATGTATGTATGTATGTGTTTGTGTCTGTATGTATGTGTCTGTATGTATGTGTGCCTGTCTGTTTGTATGTATGTGTATGTGTGTGTGCCTCTCTGTGTCTGTGTTGGTCTGTATGTATTTGTCTGTGTGTGTGTGCGTGTGTGTCTGTCTGTATGTATGTGTGCCTGTTTGTTTGTATATGTGTGTCTGTATGTATTTGTCTGTGTGTGTGTCTGTCTGTATGTATGTATGTGTGTCTGTATGTATGTGTGTGTGTGTGTGTGTGTGTGTCTGTTGGGAGGGGAGAATGGGGGGGGGGCACAGATCAGTTTTGCACCGGGGCCCCATGGATTGTGTGTACGCCACTGTCCATACTTCCTAACAGCAGTGTCCAGTGAAGCAGGAAGTTAATGGGCAGTGTAAAAGGTAGGGGACAGGGCTGAGGAGGGCACAGGGGCTGACTAAGGGGACAGGGCTGAGGAAGGGACTAAAAAAAACTAAAGTGTATTTCCCCCTCCCAGAGTCTTACCTTAGGCCAGGGAGGGGTGGGCAGCAGCCAGCAACCAGCATACAGCAGCAGCAGTCAGTGAAGTCGGCCTCTCCTGATGATGTCAGTTGGAGGGGGCGTGACTTCCTCTGCTCTTCTCCCAGACTCCCCAGCAGTCCTGTGAGAAGAGCAGCGAAAGTCACGCCCCCTCCAACTGACATCATCAGGAGAGGCCGGCCAACGCCACTGACTGCAGGAAGGGTGAGGTAAGTTGAAAAATCTGAGTCCTCAGCCAGAGGCAGGGCCAGAGCCAGAGGCAGGGGATTCAGATTTTTCCTTTTCTTGCTGGGTTTAGGGCGGCCTGGGGGGCAATTGCCTCCCTGCCCGCTCCTGGCGTGACATCACATGATGTAAATCACAAAGAGTGACATAAGAGAAAATTCTGTAAAATAACCAAGAAAACTACTTACAGTTTGATTCTGCTGTATAGATGGATTGCTCCCAGTGTCTCCCAGTAGGGGACACGGAGACATGGGGACACAGACATTTGGGGACACTGGGACACTTGGGGACACAGGCTATGTATCAGTGTCCCTATGTGTTATTGTCTCAGTGTCCCATATATCTGTGTCCCAATGTTGCCCCGTGTAAATTAAAAAAAATAAGAATATATATATATATATATATATATATATATACAGTAACTATATATGATATATATATATATACATATATCTATATATATACATATATATCATATGTCTATATATCTTATATATATATAATGTCATACTAAGTATTTTTATATTAATATATACATTAATATAAAAATACACTTATAATTAAATTACACATGTGTATATATAATATATATATATAATAACTATTGTATATATATATATATATATATATATATTATAAAATATAAATATAAGTAAATAAAAATACATTAATTTTTTTAAATAATTAAAAAAATATTTTAAATTATATATATATATATATATATGTAATTTTATTCTGTATTTTGATGTTAACATATATATATATATATATATATATATATATATATATACACAATACACAAGTTCCAGCGCACTCAATACACAATACACAAGTTCCAGCGCACTCACCTATCCACTAAACAGCAACTTCAATGTTGACAGACATGCTGTTTAGTGGATAGGTGAGTGCGCTGGATCTTGTGTATTGTATAAATTGGCCCCCAGAAGCACCCCATTTATGCATGTTTAGGTGAGTTAAGCCCCCTGGTTTCATATGTTAAAAGGCCATCAGGCCTGAATTTGTGGGAGGAGTTATGGCCCCTACTTAAACTCCTAGCCCCTACTGACCTCTGCCGTTCAAGCTGATTGACTCACCTTAGCAACCAGCACTTCTGGTCCGAGTTCCTGCCAAACAGTGCCAGTTTCTAGCTGCAGTCCTGTTGCAAGCATTATTCTCTGCTCTGATCTCTGGTCCTGCCACCCGCCTTCTCCCCTGCCACCCGGCTTCCGGTCATGAGACCGGCACATCCACGTAAGCATAACGTGGGAAATAGTGTTCAGGCTGTTTCCCACGTTTGGACCTAAAAATGTAGGGGTAGGCTTCCTTTAATAATACTATACTAATGCATACTTACCCGTTCTTGCACTTCAGCGGTTCGTGCAGTATACCCAGGGTATACTTACGTTCGTTAATTTCTTTTGTGCGGTCAAACAGCCGACCACAGACACTATGTATGCATACAGTTCTTATGATTTGTGTATTTTTTTGTTGAACGCCAGCCTGTCTCACTGTTTAACAACCCCTTTTTCTTGCCCCAAGTCATAACCTATTACACTGTTTGTTCATACGAACGAACTGATCACTGTATCTAATATACTTACCCGTTTGTGAACTTCAGCGGTTCGTGCGGCTTAACAGCTGACTGCAGGGTATACTTACGTTCGTTTATTTCTTTTGTGCGGTCAAACAGCAGGCTGCAGTCACCATGTTTTCATGCAGTTTTTTCATTCGTGTAAATTTAGCCGAACGCCAGCCTGTTTCCCTGCTTATAAACCCCTTATCTTGTACTACATTGTACCTGTTATACCGTTTTATTTCACTTGTTAAAAATTGGGGTACGCAGGTTAAGATTAATCCACTCTTCCTTTCCTTTTTTTTGACTGCATGATTAGCCTTTCATTAAGTGTCAGTTTGACTACTACAAGGTCATACGTTTGTTACTTCGGTACTATGCCCATGCAACAACTTTTCACGTCTATCTCCCAAATTCAACCACCACTATTCATTTTACGTCAGGCACAATTCTTACCAAAGGCACGATCACTTACTTGGCTCCTGACTATTATGATATCTCCAATCCTTGACCTTTGGCTTGTTTATCATTTCTTTTATACCTTTGTCTTTGCTTTTCCCTCTCTTGTGTCTTTTGCCTTTATACGTTAAATCTGGCCATTCTAAGGCCCGGTAATATACTTTATATCTACTTAAGTTCTGCGTGTTGGGCATCTACAGTAATCCTGACATTACGACAGGGCCATGGACTCTGCAGACTTAAGCAGACAGGTGTCTTCCTGCGAGTCTAAACTGGAGGAACATGATCGCCGTATGGATCAGTTTGCCCAGGCCTTCCAGACTTTATTGACTCGTACTGCACACCTTCAGTCGGAGACACCCTCTGTTCAGGCGTCACAGCATGCCGCTGTGGCAGCATCCAGTGGTCAGAGAGCTCCTCCAACTATAAGCTTATCCCCTCCGCCTAGATTCAGTGGTGATTTCCAAGAGTGTAGGGGTTTCATTAACCAGATAGAGTATCACGTTGAGGCGTCTCCTGGTTCTTTCCCATCTGACAGGGCTAAAATCGGATATTTGATGAACCAGCTCTATGGTAAAGCCTTAGCCTGGGCTAATCCCCTATGGGAGAGTGGGAAATCCATAGCCTACAACTACGTACAGTTTATAACAGAGTTTAAGAGATGTTTTGAACCCCTTGGGAAATTAAAGAAGGCAGCCAAAGTGCTAATGCGGATAAAACAGGGCAATAGATCCGTTGCGGACTATGCCATAGAATTCCACATGCTAGCGGCAGAGGTAGACTGGACAAACAGCGGCTTCGTGACTGCTTTCTCAGAAGGCCTCTCTGAGGCTGTATTAGATGAGACAGTGGCTGGCCAAAGATCTTCCAGATCTGCTGGAGGACTATATCATATATATGATGGATATAGACAACCGTCTTAGGGAGAGGGCTAAAACCAAGCCATGGACTAACCGCACCCCTGTCCTCTCAGCTCCTCGTTTGACTCCATCTGCTCCTACAGTTGCTAACGAACCCGAACCTATGCAACTGGGAGTGATGAAGCTGTCAGAAGCTGAGAGACAGTACCGTAGGGCTGAGGGTCTGTTCACGTATTGTGGGAAAACGGGGCATCTGCGCCTAAATTGCCCAATACATCTGGAAATCTCCCGCACCTAAGCACCGTTAGAGGACCAGCCTTAGGTGTTACGAAATCATCCTCTATCTTGCCTCACAACAGATTTCTCCTGCCTATAGTTTTATCTTGGGATACACATGATATACCATACAAGGCTCTAATCGATTCTGGAGCCGCTGAGAATATTATAGATATGAAGTTTGTGAATGACCTTCTTGTCCCCCTGGGGGAGAGATCCACACCTTTGGCCGTTGAGGCCATAGATGGTAGCACCCTTCTGACACCTCATATAAACCATGAGACCTTTCCGTTATCCTTGTCCGTTGGAATACTACATAGGGAAAATATAGTTCTACAAGTTATTTCAAGTTCTTCATCCAGTCATGGGGGACAACTTGTAAAGATCAGTGTCTGTTTTCTGTTAAGCCTGTAGGTCACACTAATGTACCCACTGCGGCCCCCCTATCCACAATGATCCCTCCGCAATACATCCATGTTAAGGAGGTATTCAACAAAGCCAATGCCAAGACGGTACCCCCACACCGGCCTTATGATTGTGCCATAGACCTTCTACCTCCAAAGGGAAGGGTGTATCCTCTATCCCCCCATGAGAACGAAATTATGGAAGGGTATATCCAGGATGCTCTTGCCAAAGACTTCATACGTAGGTCTTCCTCTCCTGCAGGTGCAGGTTTCTTCTTTGTGTCTAAGAAAGAGGGAGACCTACTGTCAGGAATTGTATTTGTTTATTACTGGCTCTTTAAGACGGCATGAAAGTACACACCCCTTGGTTATCTAAACTCCAATCTTTAATACCTCAGTGCACAATTAATGTGTTAATCTGACTGAGTGGATCAAGTTCCTTCCTAATCATTTGGATCACCCCCTTCTGAATCTCCTCTTCATACCCCTATATCTTTGATTACCTGGTTAACTAATTTGGACTGGCCTTGACTCTGCTTTTGGAATTTCCTTCAATACTGCTCCTATTGAATGACCTCAGACTGGATAAAGGACATTGCTTATGGACTAATCCTGGACACATTACCTAAACTTCTATCTTCAAGGACTGCCAGTTTATCTCCCTGCTTTGCTGCCACATCAGTTTGCCGTGCTGAAACTGCCTCAAAATAAAATGAGTGGTTCTTATTTTTTTTGTTTGGCATTTGTTAAAAAAAAAGATTAATTGTGCCTTATAAATTGTCAAACTTATTTTAAAAAAATAATGGAAGCCACAAACTTAAACCAGAGGTTTCAGTCTCTTCAATCACAAGTTGAACTCTTAGCTCAATCAATTCAGGAGTTTCACCTTAAACTAAATGATATCCAAACTCAAGCTGAAAATTTAAAACAGCACACCCTTTCCCATCAACCTGAATCTCCTATATAACCTCCTAAAAAAAATTCTCTGGAGATCGTTGTATTTACAGGGGGTTCATACATGAATGTAAACTCCATGTTTTCTCTGAGACCTGGCAGAAATGATGATGTGAAAATAAAAACCATTATTTCCTTACTTCAGGGACATGCTGCTAAATGGGCTTATCAACTCATTGAGTCATTTGACACTTGCCTCTCCTCATTTGAATTATTCCTGCAGGAAATGAAAAAAATGTATGAAGACTCAAATAAAAGTGATACTGCTGAAACCTTATTACACTCTTTAACCCAAGGGAGAAACAATGTGGAAGAACATGTTTCTCACTTTCGTAGATTAGCTGCAGATACTTCATGGAATGAAGCAGATTTAAAATACCAACATAGATTGGGGTTGTCTGAAAATCTCCGAAATGAACTTGCAAGGACTGGTATTCCTAGCACTTTAAGGGAATTAATTGATCTCACTATTCAATTAGACAGGAGATTTAGTTATTTTTCTAATTCTTCCAGACAATCCTCTTCAACACCCCGTCTAGACAATTCTCTTAACTCCTCAAAAAACAAAGCCATGGAAATTGGATACATTAAAGGTCCCTTATCTGAAACTGAAAGGAACAGAAGAAAAAAAATAATAATTATGCATGTACTGTGCATTACCTTCTCATCTATTACCAATTTGTCCCCTTTCTAAATGGAATAAGATGGAAAAAAACTATACAACTATGTCTTTTCTCCTAAATGGTACAAATATAGAAATTAATGCTGTAATTGATTCTGGTGCGATTGGTTGTTTTTTTAAATCAAAAAAACGTTGATACTTTCAACATTCCTGTCCATCAAAAGAAAAGTCCTTCTCAAATCATTTTTTTGATAGCTCTGTATCAAAATTTGGAGTTATTCGTTTCCAAACTTCCCCTCTTAAAATTACCATTAATAATCACCATATTGAAGATATCATTTTTGACATTGTTAATACCTCTATATTTGACGCTCAAATCAATTGGTCCTTAAATACATTTTAATTTTAATTCGGAATACTGTACTTCCACTTGTATGAAACATTCTCAAATCGGTTCTATGTCCACTATTATCCCTGATCATTACATGGAATTCAGTGATGTCTTTAGTGAAACAGAAGCAGGGCCTGCCTTAGGGGTGTGCGAGCTATGTGGCCGCACAGGGCGCCATGGAGCAGGGGGCGCCATGTGGCCGACACAGCTCGCACATGGCCGATGTCAGGGGAGCCAAAGCAGGTACCCGGGTGGAGCATTAATTATACTCCACCCGGGTATATAAAACTTTTATTTTTCAAGCACGGGGGCAGGGCTTATCGGGAGGCAGGGGCAGGGCTTACAGCGAGGTGGAGGCAGGGCTAATACATACCCAAAGCCCCTG